TAGGGCTATTCATTGAACAAAGCTCAAACTCGTCAAAGGGGAAAGCAAGCATCTATTTGTTAACAAGGAAAATCATTAAGGTGTTTAAAATAATCTGCTGACTTTTAAACATATTAACCCTACGTCTCAGAACACATCTGTATTGCCGTTTATTCGTGGAGCTCAACCAATTGATGAATAGAGCTTTCACTCAGCTAATTTGGCATTATAAATATTTAACTAACAGCACAGCGAGACTGCTCGCATCTTTCCGGCAGGCGCACTGATTTAGCGAGGATGCCAATATCACAGGTTAACGCCTACTTGTGATGGTAGATAGCTAGTTGTTTTCGACACAGAAACACATCATCCTGAGACTCCGAGGAAAAGATGTTTGCCCCTCGAATATATTCGTATATATACGAATATATTCAAGGTTATAAGTGAGGTTTAGGTTTCTGTTTATATGATATATTTTTAACCGATCTATACTATTACGAATTATTAAGAAAACATACATTTAATGTAAAATATCTTTTGAAAAACAAAAAGTCGACCTGTTATTTTGAATACAAAATCCTTTTATTACATACTGTATATATATATACAACCTGGTATTTCAAATAGATTCAGTGATTACATTGATCTAAAAAATGATATTTTTGGTTTGTAATTTTCCAACAAACTCAATGGCTTTGCAAGACAACCTGTCCGTATGTAAATTCTAATGGTTTGTTTAATCAACTAACAGTCACCCCCCAACAATTAACTATTTTTAACGTTTCACAAGGTAACTACATGCACTTATTTGTAAACTGATGTAAAACCAGAGTTTTCCTCATTATTTACTATTAAACAATGTAAAATCTCAAATTATATGTATCTAGCCTGTCGTGTTCGTCAAAAAATGCGGATCCGAAGATGATGGTTGCATCTGAGATAGATTGTAGGCGTTCTGAGGGAGGAAGGCAGTATGTCAGTCGGTTGAGATGAGCTATTCGGCCAATATTTATATGTAGCTGCTTCCTTTATCCAAAGTTTAGGCTCGAAATCACATTTTTATACTTAATTGGAAGCGAATTTTATTGGAAGCTTTCTGAAAAAACAAACAAACAAATAGTGCTGTTTACTAGTTAACAAATCACATTAAGTGTTAGCAGTCTTTGCCACGTCATTTAAAAAGTCATATTTACATTTCTACATAAAATCGAATTATTCAAGAAAAACGGAATTTTCTCGAAATTTAATAGACGGAGTGAACTGGACTTAAACTGTGTTGTAGTGTAGATAGAATATCGATCATTGGACAGGTTCATTAACCATTTTTGTTCCAACATGAAGGAGTTGCGGACACTCTTCAGTCAAGGTCAAGGGATGCAGAAAAAAAGACTAACAGCAGCTAATTAAGTATTGCGTGGACTTCACAGGAAGGCTGCAAGGAAAAGAAAGGTACCCAACGAGTTGTTCTTTAAAATGTTTTCTTTCTTTGAGAGACCTTGTAGATTTCTTCAGATGTTGGTCCTAGTTTATTGTATAAGAAAAACTTGCCTGGGTTGTTTATAGCACCCTCGGTTTTAGGAGGTGGTGAGGAAAAAGTGTAAACAGTATTAAAACGGGTAATAAGTATTTAAGGGGTACACTGGTAAATGCTGTTAAAAATAACTACAGAGTACATGGCTTTCTTCATTTATAGGTTTACTTTCATCTGTGAAATTTGGATATTTAGTGTTTCAAAATTCTGTTCTGTGTAAACAATGTATAGACCAACACTTAGAAATGTGTTTGAGAATCTAGTTTGATACAAGGCCCTCAAAGACCTATTTTTCTTCTGTGCACGCAGAGTATTTAAAAATGATTCCTCAAATTTAAACCAGCAAAAAAAATCGTCATTCTGAGAGATGTCATCTCGTTCATTTTACACAGTTGGTCACTTTCTTTTTATTTTTTGCATGTAAATTTTGAAAGTGGCACTTCAAATATTCATATATAAGAAGCAGAACGGAACAGAGAATAGGTGATATCATAACACGCAGACTCTGAGCACAAGAGCCTGAAAAGAAAAGGCTGCTCAAAATCCAGTATTTTTATAGTTATGGTTCTTAAATTGAATGTGTCTTTTATTGTGCTGACACTGATGAGGTTGTGCAAGGATGGTTATTAATTGCAAATGGAACCAACAGGACACGACAGTGTGATGAGATTTGTACAATGTAATCAGGAGGGGACTGGCAGAGAATTGAGATCTCTGTGTGCATTATGAGAAGATTGATCACTTTGGTTCTAATTGCGGGTAGCTTTTCTGACCAAAACTATTTGAGAAAATTGGTACAACAATTAGCGAAGAAACCTTTTCAATAAATTTTCTATCGGTGCGTTTGTATGCATTAACTTTATTGCTCTGAGAATGAGAATGTACTGTATTAGTGTTTCAGGGCACGCCTTCCCTAATTTATGTGTGTGCTTGCACTATTCACAGGTGGCTCAGAGTAAATAAAATCAATGCCTGCTATCACTGTTTTAGCTGTGTTCAGTGTTATCTCTGAACCCTGCTAGTTAAAATGTTGCCCAACCATAGTTACAAAGTGGTAAGTAAATAATAATAAACATTTAATAGAGTAAAAGTGTTCCATGGACAATAAAATGATATTGTATTCCATGCTTCACTTCACCAGGATTTATTTATTTTTTTAAAAAAGATACCATTTTATTTAGCCAACAGAGTTCATCCAAACCATAGTAACAGGTCCAGATTTAGACTGGCACAAGATACCTTATATGTTGTAGCAGAAAATATAAACTCATGGTTTCAGTTGATAGTCCTCTTGAGTATCCCAAAATTTATACTCATAATATACCAGTAGTGTATGTCAGAAAAATATCCCTGATGTTCTGAATTCATAATTTTTCTGCAGAAGAATCCTTTATTGAAATATTGTTTTCTTCATTACCAATAGCTTTTACTCACACTCAGGGAGATTCAAAGCACAGTTATAACAGCATTTTTAACACCTGTTTGTTACATAAATGTTGCATCTTTGCCACCTCGAATGATCTTGATGTAGGGAATTTTGTGAAAGTTATATTTTACAAAAACCAACCAAGTCTACATAGATGCTACGATAGGCAGTGCTGTGTCTTTTGCCTTTGTGCTCGGAAGCAGACAAAGAATAGCATTGCTCAGTGTGAATCACAGAGATAATCAATAGAGAAGTGGTTCAGAATTCCTGCAGATTTTGACTCGTTACTAGGAGACTGCAGCCTGCAAGACACTACTGCATTATCAAGGTGGGGCAAGTGTCCATGGCCTGGCACCATTCTGACACTTGTGGACTCCTGCAGTTTATCCCTCAGCCTGGCAAGAACAATTCAAGGTAACTTGATGACATACAGGGATACAGAACGTACAGAAGATGGTGGAAAATTTGTTGCTGGCACTGTTTTACATCTAAGAATAACTAGTTCTAAATGTGTAAATATAAATGGTAATAAAGAGCTTTTTATTTTTTTTCTTTGTTTGCCAGTTAAATAATGAGTACATAGTTCTAAGCTATATATTTGTGTTTCTATTGATTATCATAAAATTTACGTTTTTGCAGTACTCAATATGGAATTTCAACAGACACATACATGCTCACTCATACAAAAGCTTATGTCATGCTGAAAAGAAAAGAAGAGAGTCACAACGTTTCAGCTGGGGAGCCTTCTTCAGGTGAAGATCCTGAAGAAGGCTCCATAGCCAAAACACTGTGGCTCTTTTTTCACTATGGAATAAACCTTTACTTGTACCTTTGCAGCCTATGCATGATGACGCCTCTACCTACTTGAGCTTTGAAAATATAGGTAGTCTCACTCAGTTTGTATGCTCAGGTTTCCTCCTACTTTTCAAAAAGGAGGTGTCTTTAAATTTCCCTGCTTGTGTACCCTGCGATGGGCTGTGGGCAGCTCTAATGGATAGGGTATAGAACTTCCAGGATACATACAATATCTTTCAAGATGTTGTTCTGCCTTACGCTTCTTTGTTAATCTCTTGCTTTTTGAGCCCCTCACTGGAAATACGTAATTTTCTGTTAAAGGATGGATGGGCCAACCAAATTCTCAACCAAATTCAACATAAAATCAGTAGAAAGAAACAGAACAGGTACTACAGTACACTGAGACCCAGGGTGTTTAACATACACAAAACACCGATCCTCTTCTATTGTAAAAAACAAATCTCAAACAAAGAGTTGATGTTTTCTCTGTGACAGAGGAAATAACTTCAATGTTGGGAAGCATTTTTCCAAATTTGTCAATTCAGACCTTCTGTTGAAAAAAAACCTATAAAGTCTAATTTTCGTTTTTAATTCCTCATTACAAGAAATGAATGGAAGGGGTGGCACTAACCTTAGAGAAAAGTAGCTTTCTTGCTACACTCCTTGGAAAGGAAAAGTGGGTAAGAGACTGGAGTGATTTTGCATTTGTATTTTGGTTTGGAATATATGTGTAGTATGTGCCACCATAAGCTCCAGATAATCCCTAAAGGTTCTTGGCATTACTGCCATCTGATATACAGTATGTCCTCAAAAATAATCAGATAATTAGATAAGCATTTTTACTTTGATGATACATCAGATATATTGTGCATTACATACAATATTAAAATGACTTTCAGGTGGCACATTTTTTGCAAAAAAATTTTGGGAAATAGAGTTTTTGAGGAAAAGCCTGGCTGAGTTAAGTAATATGTAATAAATATTGATTAATCACTGAAGCATGAAACTTATACCCCTGAAAGTGTTTTAACTTCACTTTACTCTGTAAAAAAACAGTGAAACTGTTATAGTGAATTTTAGTCCTTGTTTGACTTCATATCGACAATCGGACACATAACTTTGATACGTTCTGGCTTTTGTCTTGCAGAATACCTCTAGATTTGGTTTGGGACCTGCAGACAAGATGGAATACATGCCACATGCCACTTCCTTCAGAAACAGATGAAATATTCCTTGCACACTGCGTTCAGAAATGTCAACCTCAAAGGCTTACAACATCTAGGGGAACAGGTTTTCCATCAGTTTCAAGATGGACAGCAAAATTAAATTTCAGACAAATGTGCAACAATTTTCTTCATAGCTCTATTTAAACCTAGATGGAGGGAAGAAAATATCTGCTACCCACTTAGTATCGGTTTATATGAGTGATTTGGCCAGCCCTAATATGATTATAAAGTGGGGCTATGGCAAAGTGGATAAGTGTTTGCCTTGCAGCTAGAAAACAGTGGCTTTGATTCCCAGTAGATACTGATTGTCTAACCCACTTGGTTTTAGACAAATCTGGCTTTCAAGTGCATTACTGGGTACCCCTAGAGCCACAGAGGCCTGCTCTACCTTCCCTGCAGTAGGCTGCTATTTACAAACAAAAGCCCACAATATAGGAATTGATAAACTGGCAGAATTTTTTTTTGAAAGTAATAATTCACAAAACCTAGCCCTTTCAAGCCCCTGCCTTTTCAAGAAAAAGTAGACTCAAAAGGAAAACATAAAGGAAACAGTTACAGTAGCATATTTTGTATAAAGCACAGTACTTAGAATGTCCTTATTATAAGGTGACTATTTGGTCCTTTGTTCAAGTTTAAATCCCCATCCCCATTCCTGAGCAGAAAGATACTTATTCATTTGATGCCAGAACAGAAGGATTAACAAAACACTGCAGAAGCTGCAAAACAAAATATAAAATGGGGAACACCAAGCTTGAAGAGGCTACATTCAACACATAAGTTTTTATGCTGACACATCAGTTACATCTTCTAAGCAATCTTGGGAAGCACTAAAAAGGCAAAGAGTGTACTGGGATATACTGTATAGTTGAAAACTGTAGAATTCAAATCAAACGATGTTAAAACTTTAAAATGCAGCAGTGAAACGTCATTTAGACTACACGTCTAAATATAAATCCGTCTAAGTCTGAATCTGCTGTGGAACCAATACCATACCTTTCATGGGACACATACTTAGGGACAATTAAAGATACCAATTTACCTAGGCAACATGTCTTAAGTAAACCCAAGTAAACTCAAGCTCCTAGAGAAAACCTACCACAACACAATGACACCATGCAAGCTATACACAAAAGACATGTCAGAATCAAACCCAGGATCCAAGAGCTTTTAGGCAGTAGTGGTAGCTTGTTCTCTAAGACAGCATTCAAAAATGAGGTATTTTAGTATAGTTCCTATATTCTGTCTCAGTATCTTCACAAGGCTCTGTCATTGCATGAGTGAGCAATGCAACTTTATTTTCCAAAGCAAAGAGGTATTGCTTAGATATTTTATGAGCCTGTCATTAATTTGATTGCTGAACATTGATGTATGAGAGGACATTCCCCCTTTTCTAAAAAGAAGTTTACACTACTGGTCTGTTACTATATATAATTAATTTCCAGGTTCAAAGATTCTTTTTATTAAGAAAGCAGAAACCTCTTCAGATAGTGTTTGTTTTCCTTTTTGACTGTACGTAAATTCTATGTGAAGAAAAAGACCACATCTATTTGATAATATTTATAATCAAATTACAAATTACATGATTTTCTTTATTCTTCCAAGGTTCATTTTAAAACAACAGCCATGAACCTGTAGCTGTGATAGGCTTGATGCAGTACTGGCTGAATCATCTCTTTATCTCACATGTTGGGATCAATAATTATTCCATTGCTGGTTCATGGCATCATTCTACATCCAAATACAATAAAACATGCCTTTTATATATGAACCCCTGCCTTCATTTTCACCCACTCTGCACCCATAGGGTCTCTGAGAGGAAAGGCTGTCCAGAGGGAGATATTTCATCTTCCTGGCAGAAAGCACTCTACTAAAAGCGCTTCACTAATAGGCAACACCAGATTGAACTGCTAGACCTAGTGTGGTGCAGCTCTGTCAACCTCTGACTCCCATTGATGTGAATACAAGGTTGGCTGCAGTAAGCTCATCAGTGGCAGCCCATGACACATCATCTTTACATACATGGCCATCTCCATTTATCAGCAGCAAGCAAGCCTCAAATGACTTCAGTGATTGCTGTGTGGAGCGCTGAGGGGGTAGATACAATTCACAGGCTGGAAGGATGCATTTCATCAAGCACTCTGTTGATGCTCTTGCCTAAACAAAGTCATGGCCAGTCTGCCTTGTTGACAAGTAGTTCTTAGAAGGACCTCAGCTGAGAGATTGTGAGTGTTTTCATAGGGAAACCAAACCATTGACCCTGTGCTTCTTCATAATGATCTGTACATCATCTGTCCATCCCTTTTCTACCCATATCATCCAATTCAGGATAGTGGGAGAGAGCTTATCCTGGCAAGCAATGGGTGCAAGGCAGGGTACACCCTAGATAGGACACTAGAACTGTGCATCACTGAATCCTTATAAAATGTAAAAGCTATAGAAGTTGGAGTTAAAAGGAAGGATTGTGTAACATTATCACCACAGAGTTTCCGATTGTCAGTGGCAGTCACCACAGATGTCAAACTGACTTGCGATGAAAGTTTATCCTGAATCACAGCAGACAAACAGACCTGCCGGTCCGAGTTTCATTTTGATTCTTACAAACTGAAAGAAATTAAAAACTTTCAAAGCATTTCAATCATGCAAAACGTGCATGGCCTGATTTTTCACTATACTGTAGGCAGACTTTGAGAGTTTGCCTATTTATGATTTATGAAGTAGGCAGTGAACAGTGAGAAATAAGAACTGTAGTCTTAAACAAGGTTAATAATACAAATAAATGCGATTATACCAGAGGATGTGCTCTCGGTTCTTTTACGTTTCAGGTGACACACCTATTTTGTTTCTCTTCTTATAACCTTGTGTCTAAGGCCTTCTACAAGGCCTCCAAACATTATGTGACTGTGATGTTTATCAGTGTTTTCAGCCAAAGTTGTACTTGAGAGCCTACCTAATTTACTCAAGAACTGGTATCAATTTATGACAGCGACAGCACATCCATTTAATAACTACTGGTATCACTTGGTGAGTAAGAAAAATGGAAAAAAAGTATTCTGCAATCTGAAACCAATTTGGATAAAATTGTACTTCAGCTCCACAGGAGAACAGCTAGCAGCGATGCATGTGAAAGCATACTGAAAACAAATAGCTGCAAAAAGACTAAAATAAAGAATAAAAATAACAACTCACAATTCACGCAGAGGTTATAATCTGTACTGCTATCATCTCTGTAACTGACAAAATCTTGGATAATTGTTATAGTTCTCTAAAAAGAGCATTAAAGCAGGAGCCAATATTGATGGCTAACATTCTGTTTAGAATGTTAGCGGCATCACATCAAGCAAACTACAAAAAAAGCAAGTGGTATATTCTATTAGCCTGGATCTCTACACAACAAAACATATTTTTTTTCAGAATATAACATGTCGAAGAAGAAAAACAACAACAAAATCAATGAACACAGTGTTCAAATGTACAAAGTAAAATTAAATCATACTGTGAGTCATGGTACCATAAGATAGGAATAGCTATGCAGCAATTTTAAGTATTTATAGGAGCTGAGGCCTGCCATTGGAGATGTGATAAGGAATAATTTGCAATAAGAGAGCTACCTTTTTCAATTGTCTTCTGGTGAAGTGGAGACTCCCAGCAATGATTTATTGCCCTGCTGCCTCGCTGCTGATAACTGGACACCAAGTGGCTCCTCATTACTCAATAGTCCTTACGATTTCCAGGACCAAAGTCCTTTCCTATTAGTCCACTGTTGTTCAGAAGGAAATGAATTGGTAGACCTTTCTGTGTAAGCTCATAAACTATTTTGGTATAAAAGTATATCATAAATACAGGAAGAGAAAATCTTGTTTGCAGGGACTGCAGGATCAACTGCCTCTTGGCCTTTTGATAGCATCTTTGAAATGGAAATGGCCAGCTGGCTGACCTTCTGCTCAGTGACCCTTCTGCACAATGTCATATCTCCATGGCTGTGCGCCGGCAGTGTGCTTGATGGACACACACTGCAGTGCAGTTCAGGCCAGGCGGATAGCCACAGTGTTTAAGCATTTCTAAAACAACAGTCAAAACCATAATAAGACCTGGGCTGGAAACACAGCCACATCAATGATCTCGTTTTGAATCAAACTTAAGCTGTGGTGTTCATCATATCACTTCCCTTTGTAAATGACTAGGTTTGGTGCTTGCTGTCCAAGCAGCTAGTATTATGGTGTTGACCGCATGGATGTACACAGTGACACTGCAACCTGCAACATGCACTTCTAAAGAAGGAGAGAGTGTGATCAATCCTGCAAAGTCAATCGGTACAGCTATTCCCAACTCAATGATAGGTTAAACTTCGTAAGGAGAGTTCTTGTATGTCAGAACTTCATCTCCCAATACATGCTCTTGCAACGCTAACTGCTCTTTTTCAAAAACTGGTTCTCCAATGAACTCCAAAGTTGGTATACGCCATGTGTGTTTCTCCTTAGTTCTTTTAAAGCTTTACTTATGCTGTGAAACAAATGGGAAGTGGTTCTGTTTGGATGTCCTTAGAACTGGGTACAGTTGTTTACGCAGAATTGATTATTTTCATCCCTGATAGACCAGCACTGTTCTAGAATCTGTCTGCACTGGTTTAATTACAATTTGTGGATATACACAGATTTTTTAATATAGTGTATACTAATTCACGGAGAAATCAGCCTGCATTTTTAATAGTCACATGCTGCGTGGATTTAGTTCATCTTAGGAAGCCATATCTTTTACTAATTTTGTAATGCTTTATATTTTACAATGTGTCATGTTCATGGAATATTTTTTGATAATTGTTTATTCACATTTCCAGCATTAATATCCATGTTTAATACGTTTGATTTTGTCCGTTAGACCCGAAATTGTTTCTTTTGAGCATCAATGTGTAAGCTCCATTATTAAAAACATGAATCATCAGCAGGAAAATGATTTTCAGGGTGTAAGGCTGACACATAATCTGAAAGATAGTGATGCTCACATCAGGCAAAATGAAATATATTTACATTATGAAATGAATCCTTAGCCAGCTAAAATTAAATGTGTCTACAGTATATGTGTTTTTTTCTTTCCAATTTAAAAATTAAATAACAATAAAAACAATAACAATAATGCAATCATTTCAAGTATTAATAAGGCTGTCTTCATAAAGAAGGCTTCCAGTAAAAGAAACACAATATTCCTTCTTGTGGCCATGAACTGTAAATATTAAAATGAAGCTAACATGATCTGCACAAATGAAGCTAACATGATCTGCATTAGAGTGCGGCCATACTTTTGGAGTTTGGCTCCTCAAGGACTTTTCAGTATTATTTCACACTGAATGATTACAGATTTCGAATGGTACAGTATGTCGGAGCCTGAATGATGATAATGACATTGAAAGTAACCCACTGCAAGATTAGATCTCATGCACAAATAAAAAAATGGGCATTTTCCACAGTAGGTTGTAACCAAGACAAGATCCACTGATGGAAAAAGGAGTAACAACTCTTCGAATTATGGCACCTAATCGGCAGATCACAGTTTACCCTTGCCTAAGACCCTAATGTCAATTAACTCAACCTGAGTAAGATTAGTAGACAGCCAGCAGAACTGCAACACATGGTCATTATGGAAATGAGGTTGTTCAATGCCCCGGTGTTTGATTATTTAAGCCCCTTATTACTCACTTATGATATTGTAAAGGGGGATCAGATTGTTTAATTTGTGTAAGTGGCAGCTGAATGGAATGTTTAATTGAGTAAGGGAAGGTCTGGCACTGATGTCAGGGCTCCCAGTAGCTCTTTGATGTGATGTGGATTGGAAACTGGTGGCAAAATGCCCAGTCCTTGTAGCACACACAAAAAATAGTTCATAATTACACCATAATTCAATCTGAAGTCTTTTGTTTCAAATAAATCCCTCGTGAAATTAGTATTCGACACGACAACAGCAACACTGAGTGCTGACAAACTTAGAAGTGTAGAATAAAAAGGGCTGATTAAATCACACTGGCACGCTGCAGCCAGTCATGTTTACATATCATAAATTAAAACCGTTAATAAATTGCCACCACAATATGCGATTTCAGGAGTCTCAGGCAGAATAACCTTTTATTATAGGGGTTTCCAGTGCAGTTTCAGTTTGTACAGTAGTGAGTGCAACATCAATGTACTTCAGAAAGGTTTCAACACCAGTCAAGATAAGACAATTGCTAGATTTAGTAGAGGAAAAAAATCTTTAAACAGGAACAAGTTTGAATTTATTTCTGAGAAAACCTGTGCTACCTTATCATTGGGATGTTTAACGCATGTTCTGAACTTTCCAATCAGATAAAACTGTGATATAACTACATAAGTAAAATCCCCTCTCTCACTTGTTATATAGAAAATAATGCGTAATGGCAAACTATCACACTACAAAAACGAATCTTTAATTAATCAAACTAACAATTTGTATCAATTTGTT